AACTGTTTCTCTTTATTCATGATAACTGGCTATCTCTTTTCCATGACAATTTGTCATTTTGGTCAAATGACTTTAACTGGCCTCAAAACCCCAGACACTGTTCTCTAGCTGCGGTAAGGAGGCACGGATTTTGGCCGCATCTTGCAAGCCGTCTGAAAGAGCTCCTGCTGACACACACTTACTGATCTGTTCTCAGCGGAGAAGGGTCCCAGGGACAGGCTCCACTTCATTGCTCTGGAAGCTGGGACTCCAACCGTCTATTTCCCTCCCCTGTATCATCACTTTGCCGCCACCGCTGCTGTGACCTGTCACTATGCATTTACTGCAAGCATCTTGGAGACGGCTTCTAGACACAACCAGGGGAAGCCTTCCTGACCCATCTGGTCAAACCACTGGCTCACCAACTGTGTGGGGCCTTGCTTACATACATACACACAGAAGTGCTCTTAAAAGAGCGCCTCTTCTCTGCGCTAAAGGACTGAGCTACGGGCACAATAGTTCTCTTTCCAGAAAACAGAGCTCACAATCTTTTGTTGAGACAGATCAGAACGAACTCACACATACTTTGCAGGCTCTTCTTTGATGAGGAGGTCAAAGCCAACCAAAGGAGGTTGCTGAGTGCCAGAAAAAATGTTTCATAATCCCAAACTTCCTGTTGCACCCAATTAGGCTACTGTCAGCTTACTCTAAATATTATCAACCTCTACCGACTAGTTAACCTATTACAGGAAATTCAACAGAGTCCAGTCTGCATTGCATTACCGTTAAGAGATTCATGTAGTCCTAAGCAAGCTTTATGTAAAGCCCAATGACTCACCATCCCCACAGTTGGTATGGCTGATTCGGTTTATACGTTGTGATGCTATGGGTGGAAGGGAAAGTTGCAGAGAGTTGATTTGTGCTTGAATTTTTTGCAGAAAACTTGATTATGAAAATTACTAATTTCTAAGTTGAAGATCAGGACAAAAGTGAACTACAATGCAATGTCTGGATGTGTTTAGGGGTTATAGTCCTGACGTTTATCCCATGTCACAAACACAGGCTAGAACCTTCCATTTTTTTTCCACTGAGCATATCCCTTAAGGACTCGTTACTGCGCAAAACTAAGCTACACATATTATCCTAAGCTCTTAGGAAGACATCCATAATTATGATTTGTTTCTACAACAAACAAAAGAATCTAGCCGTACTGACACGCTACAAGAAAAAATGGAATATAACATCATGAAATGGAATGAGCAGCCCGTCTTCTAAATCTGCTTGTGATTTTAACGTGTTCTTTCCTGCTGCCTTATAAACTATATTAGGAACCCCCGGAGACAGGGCAAGACACTGTAGGAATATGTTTGATATATAGTTGGATTAAATAACAACCTAATATATCAAACATATCACACAGAGGCCTGCAGCAAAGGCATCCAGGTTTGGCTGGGCTCGAGAATAGGCACCGTACGTACTGCAGGAAGTCCATTACCCGTCTGGGGAGCGCACAGGCTGGTGGTACGTGTGGGAACGGCGCCACGAGCAACCTCGTAGGCACATGCACCAGAGCACACTGACCTTCCCCTTTTGCCTTCCTGCCATCTTCCCAAGCAAATAGTGGATCCAACAGTGCGAATTTGTTATTCCCATCGGGGAGATTGCAGGCAAAAAGAGGTGCTTATATTTTAAGGGCCTGAGCTGGGAATATACCAGAATCATCTTCATAAACCAGGGAGCGTTCTACTTTTAAAACAGGCGACCTGAGACTGTGGCGAGCAGAGTAATTTAAACAAAAAACCAAACACCCATAGCCCTTCCCCGGTACTATTCTTCAATGCAGTGTAAATGCTCCGTGGTTACAAAGGAAAGCATTACCCACGCTATGCTGAGGGCTTGTGTGGTCGTGTGTAGTTACAGGGATAGGAAGGCGATAGCAAATGCTTATTCACAGTATCATGAGGATAACTTCTCTATTTCAGTTATGGAAGGGCATGGAGAGAACCAGTTCACAAAAGACTGGTTGATTGAGGGGTCAGATTGGACTTTTTTTTTTTTTTTTTTAACTGGGGAAATAAATTCCTTTATAAAGGTAAGGAAGGTATTTTATTTCATGCGGTTATTACCACAAAGCAGAGGGTACTCTGAGACAGGCACAAAAACCATCGTTTGGGTTCATGGTTTCTTTAGAACGATTTTAGAGATAATATAATCCATGTGGCAGAGCCTTTGGCCATTGGGTGGAGTAATACTTCAGATCATCTTCAGGCACTCAAGAAGTACCAAGTGCCCTTCCTCACATGAAGAGGGGAGTGCCCTAAAGCGGGCATCCCCAAGGAAGGGGCTCAAATCAACAGTTACGTCCACTTTGACCTTCACCGAAGGATTCCTTGGCTTTTTGTAAAGACCCACACTGTCAATACAAAGGCTGGACGATCCTAGGGCAGGGCAGGGAGTGCCCACTGGCCCACCTCAGCAGCCACCACTCATTTTTTAAGTGCTGTTGTTTTTAAAACACTGTTTTATAAAATATTAAAACACAGGCCCTCCCCTAATTTCACGGTCACCCTTGTACATCCCCTACCTGTCTCCTTCATATGCAAGTGTTGTTTACAGAGTTGTAATCATAATGAGCACATAATTCTGCATCCTGTGTGTTTTTCTTTTTTTACTTTACATTTGTGCCATGAGCATCTTCCTCATACTACACAGTCCTATCAACCATTCCTTTCAATAGCCGCATACTTTTTCTTCAAGGAGACACTCAGGTCATATCTAACTTCTTCCTATAAATAAAGCTACAAGGCATAGCCTTCCCTGACACACAGAGCTTTCTTTCTCTCTGGATTTCCTCCTCAGCACAGATTCCCAGAAGAGGCATTAGTAGCTCAGATGGTACAGGCAAACCCAAAACCTCCTCTGGGGGGCTGCACCAGCCCCTGACACCGGCTAGACCCAAAGGACTGAGATGAACGGACCCTGCCACCCAGAGCCCACATACGCTGCTTCCAGCTCCATCAAGCCGGCTGACTCTGGCAAGGTATTGTGCCCTTGATTTTGCATGGATGGAGCAGGGATGGGAATACAGGTTGCTCTTAGACCTGCTGCAAGGGCCAGATGAGTTCATCCATGCAAAGCCCCTAGAAGGCTGCCTGGCCCCTGCTTGGTACTCAATCAACATGAGCCTTTTGCTTTCTTTTTGCTATGGCCATCAGCTCATGGATCTATGGAATAATTTTTATTGCAGGCATTCTCCGAGGGGGTAGTAGATAAAAGTCCCTGAAGCGTAGTTTCAGTGATGGTGATACAGTTACTGCCTATTACGTTAGGCACTGTGTTCTTAAATTATCTCATTTAATGGCTGTAACAACAATCCTCTGGGGTAGGGCCTCTCATGACTTGTATTTTCAGCTTAAGAATTCTACGGTGAATAAATGGCTAGACGGAGGGCAACTAGGCTTCAGAGACAGAACTCCGAGGGATCCTGCAAAAGGACAAAGGGAGAGGGATTGGAACAGGAGCTCTTAGCACCTGGTGAAGTGCTAATGTTACAGGAGCACCAGGCGAATTCTCCAGAAGAGTGCCAACTGACCCGACTTCAGCATTAGCAGACGAAAGCTTTCCAGGAGAGGTTGGCTGTGTGAAATCAGATGAGGAAGAGGAAAAACCAATTGTGCAAAAAGCCTCTAAATCTTAGTCAATGGTTGTTTGCTTCTTAGCTCAAAGTAATCTTCCATTTGCAATTAACTTGATTTATAAAGCAGAAAATAAAGACATAGAAAATGGGAGCCGCCCCTACACACACACTCCGTGCTTAAGCTTGCTGAGAACAACTTGGACAATGTCAGACCACTTAAGACCCTCAGCTTAGAGGCTAGTGGAGAGAACCCTGGTAAACCCCCAAATCAGAAGCCATAACTCTTAAATTACATCTTGATGAGAAATTTAAAGACGGCCTTCACCAAGTCTAGAGCGACTATTAGGAGACTGGCTCGAAGAATTTCATGGTTTTAAGAAGGCTCCCAAGCTTCATCCATTTACTACCTGCTCATGTCTAGTTTCCATACAACATGAACCCAGGCTCTGCTTTTGAGGGCTGTGGTGTATTCTAGTGCTCAGACTCCATCCTTTGGTCTTATAAAAAAGGCAGAATTTTAGGCATATCTAATCTGAGGGATCCAACTTTTCTGAGGGCAAAAACCAGATTTTACTTCCTAATGTATTTGGGTTCTTGGAAGGGAAGTGGGGTCATAGGTACCTGCAGCGACCTGCTTGACCAGAAAGAAAAAGAGGCCACCTCCAGTTTTGCCATCTTCTGACTGAAGACAGCCATGGGGCAGGGGGAGGGGCAGGTAAGAGCTTCACAGGGTTGGGCTTTGCCCCTGGACGGCACTAGCTCCCCAATCTTTTATGTAATAATTGTCCTCTCTACTGCCCAATCTTAAAATATTTCTTTAAATGGCTGTTTCTAATATCTACTCATGATCTTAGGTTTTAAACATTTATCTAGATGACAAACACCGATGGAGGAAACATACCAGCCCACCATAGCCTCCAGCATATATTGAGAAAGTCTGTCACTGGATCCATTTTTGAGGTCCACATTGTCCTCTCTATTGATTTTAAGAAAAGGAGAGACCCAGCATTGCTATTTGCATTGCATTATGGAAACCAGACAATTGGAGGGTGACTATATCCCATTCAGGGACAGGGATTTTCCATAATAAGTATCCAACACCTGCTTTATAGGGAACAGAGCTAAACTCAGACTGTAAATGCCCGGGTTCTTCCTCTGGATACCCAAAGGTATTTTTCTGGGTGGTTAACCTGAAGGAGCCACCCGTGGGTTTTTTTTTCCATACCCTGTGAAAAGGTGCTGGGCTGGGAGAACAGGTTTGCCGCTTGTGAGTCTAACCACAGGGAAGGAGACAAAGCTTCCTGTGGCACACCAAGCTCCATTTCACAGCCATCCACAGGAAGACCCAGTGACATGAGACAAGCAGCCACACATGGACACTCACTTTTGGTTTTGCTCTTGGCTTCAGTTGCTCTAACTTCTTAGCGGCAGCCTCAATGGATGCTGCGGCCCCCAGTAATTCTGTTTCTGCAATGACGGTTGGGTCTTCTGGATCCACCCACTCTGTTCCTAAAATCAGTCCAAAGAGGGTCATTCTTGGTAGCTGTGACTACAGGGCACTGGCTTCGTTACGAACAGTATCTGGAGTGACATGCAGGGAAGCTCCAGAAGCCTACTAGCCGCATGGTGCTAAGGGATCTTCTCTCTAGCTCTCACAGAGATCAGCTGGGTGCAGGGGAGCTCCTGTCTGCTCCTGTTTTTCTAAGTCAGTTATGTACACAGCCCTAGCACAGGAGTGGTCATCAATGATAGTTTCAAAAATCAGGATCTCATGGTCCAAGGCCAGCTCGAGCCTTACTCTAACTTCTCACTTAAAAGCTCATGAACGCAAGTAACTATTTTCAAGAGACTTGAGACTCTGCTGACCACACAGATTTGCCATTCTCTTCTCTTGGGACTCCTGGAGAACAGCCATTCACCTCAACTCAAACGAAGGGAAATTGAATTTGTCTGGTGAGGTGGCTGCTTTAATGTTACCGTGACGGGGTGTGCAAACAATGTACCCAGAGAGCATCATTTCCTAAACATGAAGTGTGTTGTCTGAATGAGGATAAATATTCTGATGAAGGAAACTGCAGATAAAAATAAATGGTGACACCCTTCAGAGAAGTGAGCAGTTCCAGATGGACTATACCATTTAAGAAGAAGTACTTAATGCAAAGACTGGAAAAAAGCCTTACTTTGGGAGGATATTACTTTGAAAATCTAACTCTATTCCCATTTGCTTAAAAAAAAAAAAAAAAAAAGTACCTCACCGTCTTCCTTCTGACTGCATTTGCCGAGAAAGGGCCTGGGTTGGCTTGTGCGGTATCAGTACAGTTCGCCATACTCACTTGACACAAGAGAACGCAGCCTACCTTTCATGGCTTCTGCAGCCTGGATGAGCTCTGTCACGGCGCCGGCGACACGCTTGGAGAAGGCAGCCAGCTGGTGCTTGAGTTCCGGGCTTGGTTTCTGAAGAATCTACGGATGAAGACAAACGCGTATGAAAGATGGTAGCCATTGCGACAGAAAGCACACTCTTCCTGGTGGACACGGAGTTGGACATCCTGGTTTTAAGTTGCAACTCTGTCGCCAAGTGACTTCGGAACTTGGGGGAAAACACCTAAGGCTCACTGGCCTTCAGTTTCCTCACGTGAGAAGTGAAAAGTTGGGAACCAGGAGTTTCTTTAAGGTCCCTTCTGACACATTTCCCTAAGATCCTAAGTGAGATGAGGTCCTTACTCGTCCTTTATTTGCACTTTCATTTGTACACAAAACATATGTACACAAAAATTACCACAGTTTAAGAACAATCCGAGTGACCATGAAAGCCTGAGGTTACAAGTAGCTGGTACTTGTGACAAAACAAATGTGGGACCAGAAGAAACAGGTGACTCCAGTTGGACCTTAGAGACAAAGTCCCCAAGAGAGCAACTGCCAACTGATCAGAGGGCTGTTCCTGAAGGAACAATCCATCTCCAGGGTTTTGACTGCAAGCTCTCCTGGGAGAGGTCCGGAGGATTTTCCTTCTTTCAAACTAGTTCAAAGATTTTTTAAAAAATTTCTTTGCTTTTTGTTTTCTTACGGTATTAAAAAAAGATATTGGATATCCAACGCCCACTCCAATTTATAGCATATCCTGTGAGGATTTCTTCTCGAATCACTCAAGAATGGAACTAAGAAATGGGATGAGACCTCCACCACAAATTTATATTGACTGAAACCATCTTGCTCCTTCCGAATTTTGAAAGTCTTCTTCCAACATTCTTTTTCTTGTATCTCTTTGCCATGTTTCACAGTGGTAACCTTCAGATTTAGAAATGCTAAAACATTCAGGAGGAAAAGTGCAATTGCTGTCTCTCTGTGGACAATTTTGAAGCCTCTGAGCCAGGGACAGAGCCTGGGCCTTGAAACTGGACAAACCTGTGACCAAACCTGGCTTCACTTGCTCCTGGTTTATGACATCAGGCAGATTACTGAACCCCTCAGAACCTGTTTTCTCATCTGTAAAACTGGGGTAATGCCTATCCCTCAGGACTGGCATAAAGATCAAATGGAGTAACACATGAGAAGCATCCTGCACGATGCCTGGAATACAACAGGCATTCACTAAATGTTATTCCCTTCTTGGTGTCCCATACCCTTTTTCACTAGGCCAGGCAGCATACTGGAGTATGGAAAAAGGAGTCCGGAAAGGATGTCTTTTGGACCCCAGAGCTAAAAGAGAACTCTAAGAAAAGGTTGGTAAAAACACATCTGGGGTTGGGGTAGTTAATGGGATTATACTTGGGCCAGCCCCAGGCACACCAGTGCATAGAAGACATATTAAATGCTTGAACTGACTAGTCAAAGATTTTTGAACATTGCTTTACATGCATCTGTCCCCATTCTCCTTCCTCTTGGAATCTTTTACATTTATATTTGCTATTGCTCTATGGATTCAGCTACTCTGTTCTTATTTTCTCACTCTTGAACTTACACATATCACTATGCAGATATTAAGAACTCAATATAACGGTGCCTGGCTGTCTCGGTTGGTGGAGCATGCAACTCTTGATTTCAGGGTTGTGGGTTCAAGCCCCACATTGGGTGTAGAGATTACTTAAAGGTAAAACCTTTAGGGAAAAAAAAGCACTCAGTACAAACCTAAGAATGAGTGAAAAAATGAATGGATGAGTAAAAACAGAGCAACATACTATTGGGATAAGTCCTAATATGAAGGTTTCATGGATCAATTCCAAAACAACAATAGAACCATGGAGAGGTGCAGGGAAGGGGTTAGGTGTCTTTTATTTTCTAATACAGCCAGAGGCGGTTTAGTGAAGTGTAGGTTCTAGAGTCAAACTGTGTTTGAAACCCTGGTCTAGTTACTTACCTTCTTTCTAAGCCTCAGTTTAAGTAAATTGCCTATTAAATAGGCACAGTAACAGCCCTTTTGTTAGAGAGTGGTGGTAAGATTGCATAAATTCATATGTAATTTAATATATAACCCATCAGGGCTATATTGATAGAATTGGACTGATGTAGAGCCTGGGCATCAGGATTTTTCAAAGTCCCCCATGTGATTCTCATATACAGTTGTGAACCTATATATGAGTTGTGCACCACTGCTCTAGACTCAAATGGTGGCATTTGGCACCACTTAATTGTAAAAGGCTTGTACTATTTTTTTTTTTTTCTGAAACAATGCATGCTCTAAGGCCACCAAGTGAATAATGGTTATGGCTCAGGGTTTGAAAAGCTAAGTGGCCCATAAGCCTTGTTTGTTGGTTAGTTGGTTTATCCATAGTGGTCAAGACAACAAGAATAAGCCACGTATTAAAGGTATGATGGGGAGACTCATAGTAAAAGATGCACTGAATGTTTTCCCCTTAAGATTAAGAATATGGTAAGGATGTTTGGTCTCACATTCCTATCAGTATTGTACTAAAATTCCTGGACAGTGCAATAGGGCAAGAAAAAAATAAATGGCAAACAGACCAAAAAGAAGAAGTAAAATAATCTTTGTTCAGAAGTAAAATGAATGTCCATGTAGAAAATCTTGAGGCATCTGTAAAAAAAAGTTTCTAGAACGAATAAGTGAGTATAGCAAGGTTCCAGGCTATAAGGTCATTATACAAACATCAATTATATTTTTATATATAACAATAAAAATTGGGAATTTTAAAAAAGCAGTGTCATTTATAACAGCATAAAAATTATGAAGTACCTAGTGTTAAATGTGACAACAGATTTGAATGCTAAAAACTATAAACACTGTTGAAATTATTAAAGAAGACCTAAATAAACGGAGAGATATACCGTGTTCAGGGATTAGAAGACTCTTCAGATGCCAATTATCCTAAATCTCCCCTACACTCCCAGTCAAAATTCCAATAACCTTTTTTTTAAGAGATTGAAAAGATGATACTAAAATATATATGAAATGCAAAACACATAGAATACCTAAGACTATTTTGAAGAAGAACAAAGTTAAAAGTCTTAAACTAATTGATTTTAAGACTCATATAAAGTTGTAGTGGTAATCAAGATATCATGATATTGGTACATAGACGTATAGATCAATGGAGCTGAAAAGAGTCCAGAACTAGATTCACACATACGCTCAACTGATTTTCATTAAAGGTGCTAAGATGTCTTTAATTCAATGGGGACAGAATAATTTTTTCAACAAATGGTAATGGAACAATTGGATAGCCATATGTAAGAATATGAACCTTGACCCTTTCCCCACACCGTATGCATAAATTAACTAGAAGTGGAGTATAAACCGAAATATAAGAATTAAAACTGTACAGGGCGCCTGGGTGGCTCAGTTGGTTGGGCCACTGCCTTCGGCTCAGGTCATGATCCTGGAGTCCCTGGATCGAGTCCCGCATCAGGCTCCCTGCTCGCCAGGGAGTCTGCTTCTCCCTCTGACCCTCCCCCCATCTCATATGCTTTCTCTCTCTCTCATTCTCTCTCTCTCAAATAAATAAATAAAATCTTTAAAAAAAAAGAATTAAAACTGTACAGAAGAAAACACAGGAAAATCTTAGTGATCTTGGGTTTTGTAAGGATTCTCAGAGGACAAAATCTAAATTATGCCTAAAAACTTCAAAAACCATGAACTTGGAAGTTTATGCTTTAGAACTTTAAAAACATTATGCTAAGTTAAAGAACCAGTCACAAAAGACCACATACTGTGTGATTCGATTTTATATGGAAGGTCCAGAACAGGCAAATCTACAGAGGCAGAAAAGAGATTAATGTTTGTGTAGGGCTTGGAGTGGGGGTAAGGGCAATGAATGACCACTTAAGGGTGTGAGATTTCTTTTTGGGGTGATGAAATGTTCTAATATATTGTGATAGGTGAATAACTCTGTAAATACAGTAAAAACCAATTAATTTAATGCTTAAGTGGGCATATTTTGTCATATGCCAATTACAGCTCAATAAGGCTGTTATAAAGAGAATTAATCTGGCATGCAAATGAAAGAACAGCAGGAAGCTGGTGAAGGGTAGCAGAGTGTGCCACCCCAAAATATACCTCTTTGGTATAAGGATTATTTTGAACTAATTTTTTGAGCAAGAGCAGATACAGGAGAAACTCTGAAAAGAGTATAAATTACTCTTTTGATAGAGAAATTTACATTTATAAAGCAAATCTTCATTTGTTAAGGGTGTCTCCCTCTTCCTGCTTGAAGAGAAGGTTGATTATCACAAGAGAATTTATCAGTAGAGAAGGCACAGACTTAAATCTGCATAACCGCCTTACCCTACTTTATTGAGCTTTTCTTGGTAACCAACCTCCCATCACTAGTCTCCCCTCAGCCAATTACACACTTTTTTTTCCTTGAGCTAAAGACGGTATTTAAGCTGGTGGCTCAGACCACCTATGCAGTTACTCATTTTTTCCCCTGGATATCTGCCATGTATCCATGAGGTACACAAGTTAATAAATTTGTTTTTCTCTTGTTAATCTGCCTTACTACATAGGCAAGAACTCAGAAGGGTTGGGAGAAAATTATTTTTCCTCCCCTTATACTGGGATATAACCCTAAAAATAATTTGATAACCTGTGCAAACAGAAACATTCAATTCATGTTATATGTTTATTTGAGAAATAAGATATATTTTGGTTTTCCTTTTCTGTTTTTTCAAGTCCTATCTGTTCTTTTTGTTTCAACTCTGCAGCACTGTTTTCTAAGAACACACATTTGCCTCCCTCTCCAGACATTGTTATGAAAATGACATGGCAAACCACACCCTAAGAGAAACTATTTAAAACAACAACAACAACAACAAAACCCCAAAAACCTAGGGGCACCTGGGTGGCTCGGTCAGTTAAGTGTCTGACTCTTGATTTTGGCTCAGGTCATGATGTCAGGGTCATGGAATCAAGTCCCATATCAGGCTCCATGCTGAGCGTGAAGCCTGCTTGAGATTCTCTCTCTCCCTCTCTCCCCTCTCCCCTCCCCTGCTTGCACGTGCATGCTTTC